ATATATATTAAAATTAAAATGATACATGTATTATAAAGAAAAGTATTTTAAGTATAATATGGGTAGTATATCATAAGATGGTATAATATAAGAATAATTTCTACTGAATAACTGCATTTTCCGCTATGATCGTTGGAGGGTTTTTTGCTGATATAATCCCTTTATGTCGAAATCCATTCCAATCCCTTACATCACAAAAAGAAAATGCAATAGCATTAACACTTTCTGCAGTTGAATTATTAAACGTATAGCTATTGCCATTCTCAGAAACAACATTTTCATGACTTAATTTTCTTCTTCATATATTAAAGATAACGCCCGATATTTTTCACCAAATCTTCTGACACGTAAACGTGTAAGATCACGATGTCTTTGTTGCGATGAATTTGTTGGCATAGTACATAAATAAATTGTTGAGAATATCGATAATAAAATAACTATTTATTATTAATAAATTAAATAATTATTAACTATTCTTCAGTAAGATTGTAGTTGGGAAGTGCAGTTTGGGCAAAGTTTGGGATTGCCCTAAAATACACAGATCAAAATTTATTGGGTATAGGTGGGAAATGCCCAGTTTGGGCAAATCCAACAATCTCCAATAGGGACCCAATTGGAGACAGGGAATTCCTAAAATAAATTCTACTCGGGTTAGTGAGTAACAAGAAAGTAAATGCGACAGTTTTATTGCGGACTATGCCAATTTCGAACGTCTCAACTATACTTACACCTCTATCAATCTATGTATCTTGTTCACAATTTTTAATTTTAAAGTTATATATTTTAATACGTTATCTCTAAAGCTCACCTGGTTAAAATGAAGAGTTTTAAACCCTTCTCTCGTTAAATGTAAAAGCTTCTGTGAACCGGCTTTGTTTGGACAGGTAGCACCAGGATTGTGCTTAAAATTATCAAGAAATATTTTGTCTAAATACAGTTTATCCAAATATCTCTCAGCCATGTGGTTTTTAATGTTACTTGTGTAGCGTTGTAGTGGAGAATATGGAAAACGTTTGGGCAAAGGTGGTACAAAATCGGATTCAGTTTTTAGAGTATACAAACTGTCTCTAATTTCTTCGACGTATATGCTCTCCTTTTTTCCCACTTTTCTCTTTTTCTGTTTTAACGGAAACACCGGTTCTTTAACAACTTGTTTCTTTGCTTTCAGTCTTTTTTGGGCACGCTTTTTCTTTTTTCTCTTTAACTCGTATTCAATTTCATATTCCGGTTTTTCTGATTCGTGATTTTTCTTCCATGCTAATCTCCGAATTATTTTAAAATGGTCCCGCAGCGGTCTTCCTGCTCGCTCTCCTAAACATTTGGCTATTGCTTCTTTACACTATAGAAAGCATTTTTAAAATAATAATTTCTTTGTTAAAGGATTACATAAGCCAACAAGGAACGAAGCAATCTACGAAAAGTAATTACAAATATAAAATAATAGACCGCATCTGGTGCTAAAAATTGTGTCCTAAATAACTGTAAAGAAGGAACCAACTGTTAATTTGCTTATTATATAGGGTTGTTCGGAAAGTCATTTCGTTTTTTTTTGTGGAAATCAAAGACAGTTTTCGTATAATAAACAAATACTTTATTAAATTATACATTGACCGTTCTGGTCCAACACCTTTTGCCATCTTTCTGGTAGTAGCATAATTCCACGCTCATAAAATTTTTGGTCTTTGCTGGCAAAAAACTGATCGAGGAGGTTTTTGACCTCCTCATTTGAGGTGAAGGTTTTACCGTCTAAAAAATTTTGGAGTGACNTCCATCGGTAGCCTTTGTTCGATTAATGCGAATGATAGATGGTGGTCACAAATGGGTAAGTACAGTTCGAGATTCGAAGTATGCAGCTGGCGCATTTTCCTCTTTTTCTTTATCTTCTCTCTTTCCTTCGTCCTTTTCGTCTTCTTATTCCAAGAAGCGAGGATAAAAACGAAAAAAAGAAGAAACAGGTTTGTATGCCTCATTGTAGACGTTTTCCGAATAAGGGAAGACCGGCTCCAAGTGTTGCATTGGATTCCACGGCACCACCTCGCTCGTCGTATGGTCTGATCCGCTTGCTCCAAGAATCCTGTGCGTTAACGGCAAAGCAACAAACGAACGGTCCCAATATTCGACTAGAATCACTTATTCAAGAATTAACTAGCTGTTACCGCATGGAATTTGATTATTTCGCTAACTCCCATTTTACACCTTTGGAGGTGGTACTTTGAAAACTCATTTTATAATGGATGATGGCGTTGTATAAGGAAACTTTTTACAAAATTTGAAACTTCCTCACTTTGGACTCTTCCTTGAACGGTACATCAAACTGTGGACCCTCTTAAATTTTAACAAATCCTTTGGTAGTGCTTATCTACTTTGAATAAGGAACGTCTATGGAAAATTTCAAGCCTCTTGGTCTAGGGGGTTGACTGTGTGTTGATATATCTGTTAGTTAGTTTATCCCTTAATATACTAGTCTTATTGGGTCTGGGAATGAAGCTGCTCCTAGGTATTGGATTCTCAAAATCGGTAAAATACGTAATACATAAGATTGCATACCTACCTAGTTCTTGTTTCTTTTCCTAAAACATTTTACACGTTTTATTGTTGTGGGGGTTGAAATACTTATGTCAAAACTTACTACACTCCTTCTCCAAAGTTGATTTCCAGAATAAACGTTAGTATCTACTCCATTATTCATATTTTATGGTTCTTGTATCTGCTTTCAAGTTAATTTTAATTAGTACAAGTTTATATTGAATTCCCTTTTCAGATACTTTGGGATGCAAAAAATTCTTGTTAGTGGTCTGTTAGGTATCTGTTAGAGAGAGTAGGAGAATAGAAGGCGTTGTAGCAGTTAACAAGAAATGGGTGAGATGATAGGTTGCTAGGTCACCTCAGACATGAAAAGCTAGTTAGAGGCATTGTCCTATTTTTTGAAAAATTCCCAGATTTGCCTAAGATATAAGAAAAAGTGAAGTTGCTTCCAATCAGACTTCGGCTTAAAGATCTTGATGATGATAGTGATTATGATGACGATGACGATGATGTTGATGATAATGACGATAATATTATATTCTGGCTTGGATTATTCTGCTAAATCAACATTGAAAAGAAGCACTGAAAGTTTAATAGAATTCTATGAATTTCTGTGGGCGCTAAAGTACATTCTTTAGCAACATTGTTGAAGGCCCAAAGAAGCAGTAGTGATTCTGACCGTGTGTTTCTCATTCGCATCCGTAGCGTATGCAAACAACCAGTATATCATTGGTTCTTTTTTCTTTTCGGCGCGTCAAGACAGCTTGTGTTTCTTTTAAAGAACTCCGAAACTGGTCGTCGATGTTTCAGGGTACACAATGTGAACACGTAACAAGCGGTGGAGTGCTTTACTATTTTTTTATGTTAAAGAACTATTACCTAGGAACTTATAATATATTTGGATACTCAAGAAATGGTAAAAAATCGATGGAAATGCTTTTTTTTGAGGTCATCCCAACTCCTATTATTTCAATAAAATTCGGGTTCTAATCGCAAGCTAAAATAGCAATTGAGTATTTTTGATTCTTGAAATTATTTACAGAATAAGAAACAGGCCATATATATTTAACAATATAAATGGTACTAAAACAAATTATTATTATTGTACCTAGAAAACGAAAAATATCACTTGCCACAGGTATAAGAACTATTTTATAAAAATTTTGTTTTCTTGTTTTCTTTTCTTCGTTTCATATTTACAGGTCATACATTCTGTACTTGCACAAATAACTATTTTCACTGACAATGAAATTTACAAAAGAAATTTTGGATAAAAAATGTAACTTTTTAACATTTTTTTAAAATGTATACCTTAAGCAAAACTACGTGTAACACAGTTTTTCTTGCAAATATAGTAACGCAACCATGGAATATAAATAAATAAATAAATTACTTTAACTTTTTGGATATTGTGCGTCAATATTTTCGAACTAATTTTCTTCAAACCTGCTTTATTTCTGTAAATCGCAGCTAGTTTTCAATTTCATAACCGTTGGCTAAAGGAAGTGTTTTTTATTCCATTTTATGTAGCGTCTTATTTGTAGTCTTATTTTCAATATAACCAATCAGACAAATATAGTATTATTCACTACATCACCTTATTGATTTTGCAGAATTATCAATTATTATAGTTGTTGACTTAACAGAGGTTAAAACACGTCGGTATTTATTTAATAACGTAATCAATAACGAAGAGGCGATATTTAACGTTGGTATAATAGCAACAACTATTATGTAATATTCCATAAATACCTTCTTAACCATTACATATATTACACGTTCAACAAATTTAGTTTTCGAATGCTTTATAAATAATTACTTAAGACACTATAGACAAAGGAGTTATTTTTTCGATGGTATCTACAGAATCATACATAGCGTCCATATTTTCTGGTTTTTTCAAGAATTTTCTGAGTGAGAATGTTTTGGCATTGAAAACCAAAAGTGATTTTTCTTTTCATGGATTTCCGAATACAGATTAAAATCACAGTAACTACAACATGTACCTATCATCTCGTCCTTCAAATTCGTAATTTGTTAACCGGAAATCAAAACAAAATTTGCTATCCAATTAAATTGCTAGAATTTCATGGTTCTTCAAAATAATACAGTTTGTTTAAATTATTTATTGTATCAATAGATAAAAAAGGTAATTTTATGTTTAGGTATTATCTAAAAAACGAATGTATGTAGTGAACTAATCTATCGACGAAAATTAATATAAAAAAGTGCTTGTACTATTTTGGCTGTAATTTCCGAAAGAAGAAAAGCGACCACTTTAAAATTTGGAATTGATCGTTTGATCTATAATAATAATCTGGAAGATAACATATTCTTGATTTTATATAAGATGAAGCAGATGCTAAAATGTTCACTTTAACATTTTTTCCATCAATAAAATAACCACTCTGTACATTTTTTTTGAGAATTTCATAACCGCTGCTGTTTTATTTTAACCTTCTTGGCCTATTAATTGTACTATTATAATTATATGTGTGCAAAGTATTCCCCCTACCTGCATACATTCATTAGGTCCTCTTTTACATAAAGCACTTTTCAAACAATTTCCTTTACGTAATATCTTCCTTCCTATAACCATCCCGTGTGACCACTTAATGGTATCACTCCTGGCAACTTAGGCAAAGGACCATTGTTGTGTTTGTAATCGTCTTCTGGAGTTTGCGAAGATCCTGTTGCTTGTGTGCTGGAAGAGGAATTGTATAAAAGAGGTTCCCTGGAAGATGTCGCCCTTGGCAATGTTTGTGTTGCTGCTGCATTAACGCTTTCCTCGGTGGTAGATGGTGTGAGTGTAGGCTGTCCTGCCGAGGATACAGGAATATCGACAGAGTCCTGCTGACTCTGCGTGTGTTCGTGATGCGCTTTAGTAAACTGTATCACTTCGGAAACTCTAGTTGGGACGCTAGACGCCCGCTGCAGCACTTGGGAAATCTTTAAAATAATGAATTCGTTGAATTTCGGAAAAAATGGATTGTTAAAAGGGACAAAGATCAATTTTCTAAAATTTATTTTCTTTGCCAATTTTTAAGCCAGCTAACCATCTTACTAGAAAGAACCGGGAAAACGAAACCAAAAATTATTCGTAGTTAATGAAATAAAACGAACACATTACTTTTTACGGAATAAATTAAGAATACCTCGATAACTGTTTCTAGAGTAGCCTGCCATTAACAAGCGTAATGATTATACTGAAACAAAGAAGTAAACGAAAACTAGCAAACAGTTAATATCTGTACACTAAAAAAATGCAAGATGAATAGCTATAAGTGAAAATTCATTAACACAATATTTGGATTTTCTGTATGTTTGTTTCGGAGCGCGTCTCAAGTCAAGGGTACTAGCAAGTTTATTTTAATATTAAAATTCATTCCTGTAAAATTATTTAAGACGAACTTAAATATTTAAAGCACCTCGTAGTTTTGCTACACTTATGTGTTGAAAAAACCAATTTGATTGCCTAAATGTATTATTAATTTTCTAAGGATAGCACAGGGTCGAGTCGCTTTCATTAAACAGAAATCACTTGTATGCTCGTGAACGGTTAATTTAGAAGTTCGAAGAAGGTTGTTAAAGGTGTATGTTTGGAGCACGGCGTTGTACGGGTGCGAAACATGGACAGTGGGCGCGGCGAAAAAGAAAAGGTTAGAAGCTTTCGAAATGTGGTGTTACAGGCTAATGATAAGGATACCGTGGATAGAGAAGGTTGAATATGAAGAGGTATTAGAAAAAATAGGAGAACAGAAGATTCTATGGAAGTCAATAAGAAATAGGCAAGATAGGTTGGTAGGACACCTTCTCAGACAAGGTCTAGTCAAAAACATATTAGAGGCAGAAACTGAAGTTAGGAGAGGTAGAGGTAGACCTAGATTAGATTACTATTCGCAAATAGTTGAGGATGTGGGCTGTTCTAGTTTTAGGGAAATGCGAAGATTAGCGCAGGATAAGAAATAGTGGAGGTGCGTGTCCAATCAGTCTTAGGACTAACGACCTTATGATGATGATGATTGATATCCTATATTGCTTACCTTTTTATTATTTTTGCCTATACAAACAGCTACAGCTTGTTCAATAGCGGCTTCGTTAGGCGGTATAACTACAGGACTAGTATTTCTAGAAGCGCTGAATTTTTTTCGTTTTTTCTTGAGCAACGCCAGTCCACTTACAATACTGTGATGATTGTGATGCTCCTGGTGCTCTCCATGAACGGGCCGTTCAGCATTATCTAAACTGGGATTGGAATCTGACGCGCTAGATCCGTTGTCATCAGAAGCAGGACTATTACTGTGACTCCGTGAATGATGATGATGCCCATTTTCTTGGCAATTAGAATTGCATACGGAGTCTTCTGATCTGGAACGGCCAATGAGTCGAGACACTTTTCCTGTTTTGGCAGCTTCGATTATGGTTCCCCAGCGACGTTTGTGGGATGAAGATCTCTTCATGTTAAACCTAGAGGACGAACTAGATGAAGAAAACAAAGTCTCATACATTAACCTGACCTTCAAAAAGTTTGGAAATAATCCACAGAAACAGCTTACCAGTCATGTTTGGATGAAATTCTGTGATGGTTATGGTGGTGAATGTGATATGTTGGTCCTTCGTTGATGCTTCCTTGTGAGGACGAAACTGTGCTCTGTTGTTGCATTCTTCGTGGCGTCTGATTGAAAATTCCCGATAACGTTGATCCAAATATGTCATTGTGATTATGTCCTTCATGATTGTGGTGATTTTGTAGGGACGCGATAAATTCGGCGACAGGGGGTAACGGACCCGTAGAAGGAGACGGTTGTGGACCAATATTGAATCCTTTCATCAATCTTCTTTCTTTTTGTCTGTTCTTTTTACCACCAGCACCTGATACAACATATAGAATTCAGTAACTTGCACATTGCTGTAATAATTTAATAATAATAAAAATGCGATATACGGCAACTAAAATGACTAAACAAACAAAAAGGCATTACATTAGATAACACAGGAAACTTATCGGCTTAATATTAAATACTGTTATTGGGTGTATCAATTATAAAAGTTAATTCTTTCCTCATACGACTCGGAATATATAATTTAGTTTTCCAACTATATCAGTCTAGACTTATAGTTTCTATCAATAAAAAGGTTAAAATTTTGTAAATCACTTCAAAACAAAATCTTATGGAATAGATGTCGAAGTAATAAATATAAATAATGGGAAAATCGAGACAATTACCTAATCAGTTTTTCTTAATATTCTAATAGTAAAGGTACTCCCGCATGTACTATTTAATTTTGGTTTAGTATAATTCCTACTGCTTTCTTTTGTTTTTTTTTTGTATGGATGAGTGATTTAACGTTAGAGATTTAGTTATCTCTAGCAAATAATCTTGTTTTTTTTTAAATGAATCTGTGTCCAGCTCAGGGTAAATTATAAAAATACAATTCCAATTGTGGTAAAAAACGTTAAATATTTCACCTGATCCCATCGATGATGCGGCCGTTGAAGTGTTCATTCCAGAGTTTTTCAAGATTTCGATAAGTTCGAACCGGAAAGCCGATATATCCTGTTTTATTTCATTAACGTCGTCTTCTGTTACACCCTGATTTTCTGCTTTTCGTTGTTCAACAGTTACATAACGTCTGACAAGGTTTCTCATTATACTCTGCAATTAAAAATAAACTTCTATAACAATTTTATCACTAGCAAAAAGCCTAACATTTAATATTTATATTTATAGGTACTAATTCGAAACTATACAAACTGTGATACTTAATCAAAAACCATGATTATTTGAACGTAAAACGTATAATCTATTAAATTACTAGCGAACAGTAGTTTATACCCGTGGTAAACTTGTAGTTTTAAAGCTAATTAAATTAATTTTCACATGTTTAGGTACTTACCAACCGTAAATAAATGTAAAACAGGCAAGGTATATTTACGTAATTGTATTGTTAGGTATATAACTGATAGCGAGAAATAATACATATTTTGATTAGTTTTCTTGTAAATTTGTTAATAAAATTACTGCCTCATTTAATTATATGCAAATGAACTTTCCCTATTAAAGCATGCAAAGCAATTTGGTAAAGATCTAGATGATCTTTTTATGGGGGTGAGACCGCCACGAACTTTTTATGTTACAGTGGTGGGGGAGACTTCCTCTTTCGATCCCACCTTCATCTAGACATTTACCAGCAATTTTATCATAGAGCAAAAGATTAGTTCCCAATAGCGAAAGTATTATTTTTTGAAAGCATGCCTGGGGTGAAAATATTCTCGTTTTTAAAAATAATTGTGTAATAAAGGGATTATTTTTCATTTCACGAACTTTAACGAGCCTAAGATGACGATTAAATTTTCTCTCCGCATAGATTTCTTAAATACTTCACCAGTATAACCGGACTGTATAAAAATAAATTAATTCATGCAACTCAAGGACTAATAAGCATTATAGCTTTTATTAGTTCCATAATAAAAAGTTGCTGATTAGTGGTCACTTAAAGAAGCGCTCCACAATCGCCAAAACCGTCGCTCAATAAAGTTCAGCAGTCATTTCTCTCCTTTGGTTATGACCTAAGCATACGAGGGTGGATTGATAAGTTTCCGGCCTAACCAAGAGATGACGCCACTAGGCCTACCTTGAGGTGACATTCTATAGTACCATCCTTGGATAGCTTGTAGCTATAGTTTCAGCCCGATCTCCTTGCTAGTGTAGGTTTGACAGCACGCTGAACAAGACGCCTCTGTGGTTTTCGTAAAAATGGAAAAGCAGGAAAATCGTGCTGTCATCAAATACTTTTATTTGAAGGGGTTAACGCCGAAGGAAATTAAAAAAGAGATGGACTCAACACTGGGGACATCCTCCCCGTCATATTCAACCGTTAAGCAGTGGGTTTCCGAGTTTAAAAAGGGTCGTGTGAGCACCTCTGATGGGCCTCGCTCAGGACGCCCCGTTGAGGTCACAACTCCAGATATGATCGAAAAAATTCATCAAATAGTGCTGGGAGACCGCAGATTGAAAGTGCGTGAGATAGCTGAGACCTGTAAGATGTCATATGAACGTGTGCAACATATTTTGCACCAACATTTGCATATGGAAAAGCTCTGTGCAAGATGGGTGCCGCGTTTGCTAACAGTCGACCAAAAATTGATTCGAAAAAACATTTCTACCGCAAATTTGTCATTGTATAAGCGTAATCCAAGCGAATTTTTGCGTCGATTCGTAACCGTTGACGAAACGTGGGTCCACCACTACACTCCTGAAACCAAAGAACAGTCTAAACAGTGGATTGGACCAGGGGAACCAACTCCAAAGAAGGCAAAAACAATTTTTTCGGCGAACAAGGTTATGGCTACTGTTTTTTGGGATGCAAGAGGTATTATATACATTGATTACCTTGCAAAGGGTAATACTATCACTGGTCAATACTACGCAGACTTATTGCAACGTTTGAGCCACGAGGTGAAAATTAAACGACCTCATCTGGCGAAGAAAAAAATCTTGTTTCATCACGATAACGCACCAGCGCACACGTCAATCGTTGCGACGGCTAAAATCAACGATCTAAAGTTTGAATTGATGCCGCACCCTCCTTACTCTCCAGACCTAGCCCCGAGTGACTATTTTCTGTTCCCTAATCTCAAAAAATGGCTTGGCGGTAAGAGATTTGCGGACAATGAAGAAGTAATCGAAGCTGTAAATGGTTATTTTGAGGAGCTTGACGAATCAGTCTATAGAGATGGCATTAATAGACTGGAACACCGCTATGAGAAATGTATCAGCCTTGGAGGAGATTATGTTGAGAAATAAAAAAAAAAAATTTTTAAAAACCTTGTTTTTCTTGGTCAGGCCGGAAACTTATCAATCCACCCTCGTATGATGCGGTCGAGTACTAGCAGCGACTGTAGTGAAAGAGGGGAAATCTTCAAAAAAAAAACAACCAGCTGTCCGTTACGACTGGGTAGTGTCGGAATTCCGAGGAAGATATCCTCGGACTTACCAACTAAAAACTATACATCGACGAAGAGCTGTTTTCTGAGTTTTGAGCATATATGAACTATTTCATGCTCCAGTTCATCCCAAAGCAAAAAATCTCAGGAAAAATTATTATTCATTTAGTTGAATGAATTCCTTTTTTATACAGTTCTATTATCCCTACTGCTATAATATTTCTAAATAATCCAGGCAATTTTCCTTCACTCTGTATATTAATTGTTTAGTTATACTTTAAGTTAGATTCCTGACCGTTAATTTTAAATTGTACTGTTTTTTTCCAGGGTGGCGGTCAAATAACTAAATAACTTTTTAAGATTTTAACTTAATTTTAAACATTTTTTCATGTTGAACTACTGTGTAGTAAAATCTGTGTACAAGCAGTAACACTTTAAAAGTCTGAAGATGGTTGAATAAATCGAAAAGTAACAAAAAACATAAAGTTGTTTGATTATTTGACCGCCTCCAGGGAAAAACGAAAACAATATAATTTAGTTATAATGTCATAATAATGTCTCCATTAGATTAAACGTTTAGTACATAATCTTTTATCAAATGTATCGCTTATTTCCTTACTGACCTGATATCGAAAGTCTCTTTCACTGGCTTGTTTCACCTTCTTCTGAAACAAACAATCCATAAGTCACCTTATCTAGATATCGATGTTTCCGTTTTTCCTCTTACCCTAATGGTTTTCATATGCTCCTTTTTGACAGCCCTCGAATGACCGCAAAATTTACGATGAAGCCAACGGAAACAATACCAAATACTCTTCGGGGTTGGTATAATGTTGAAGGGAGGCGGGCAGGTGCCACCCTCTTCAAAAAAACTAATCCACAATTTGCTCCTTGCAAATTTCCATTCAACATCAGCTCGTTCCTTAATTAAACAAAAGCCAACACTAAATTGATGATAACGATGTTAGCTGGTTTATTAAGCAATCAATTGATTGTGTCAGTTGGTAGATTTAGTATTTCTATACCCTGTTCATTTAAAAGATAGACCAAACCATCACCGAGTACGTGGTCATCAGCAACGTCCTACCTACAAAAATTACAGGGTCGCATTCTATCATTACTTGCGTCCTGATGTATTTTCTCATTATTTTATGTGAACAATTCAATAATTGTATAACACTTTCCTTGTCGCTATCCTAATCGATAGCATACATTAAATCAGAAAATATCATTAAATATATTTTTTAGTGTTTTTAGTTTTAAATACAACCCTGTTGAATGTTTCACTTGCATAGCAGGTGATGGCGTTTGTATTCAGTCTATCTTGAAAGTGAACCGAGTATAATTACAATCGAAATTAACCATTTTGCTTTAAATAAAATAATCTACATTTTAGGTTTATACGAATGAATTAACGTCAACTTTTGATACCTACTTTAAGGCAGTTACAAACATAAAATGTTACAACCGAAGGTTTTTTATTTCCTGCAATAGGTACATTTCTTATCATATACTGTAATTTTCATTCATCTCAAAAGTCTCCAATAATTTTCACCGTCTAAGTAGGTACGTATTAATATAATGATAAAACAAATTAATATAAGAGAGTTTATTTTAAACTGTGAAATTAATTTCTTGATAATAACTCTCTTTAACCTTTTAATAAAGCCCAGAATGTTAGAATTCTACAAATAAAATTAACTGTTGACTTGTTAATTAAACTTTTTTGATTTCATTTGATTACCTACTTACTTAAACCAATTTAGTATTTTTCAAAGTTCAATTATATTTCAAATTACCCTCAATTCAAGAAAAAAGAGCTACACAAGGCTCTGTGAACTTGAAACCAGTTATTAAATATAGCCAGAAATTTCCTGGAAGAAATGGTTATTTTAAAAAAGTAATAAAAAAGATATTCATGTAAACTGATTTCTCTTTTACATCATCAAAGTTTACCAAGTTTTTGTTAGAATATTGTGTATTCACCCCGCGTTTGTTACGTTTATGTTTTCCTTTCCTCTTCGTAAACTGTGTAATCAAGGCAGACTTTTACCGGATTTGTTTTATATCCGACAAAAATAAATATATATAATTAGTATTGATAACATATTCTTGTCACAAGGACCATTCGAGACAATTATCATGTACGTGTGTAAAAATGTCTATTCTCATGGATTCGATTTAGGCTTTTTTTGCAGGTACCTACTTCAATCATTTATACGTATCAAACATTATCCTTACAATATATTAACTTGTAATACACATAACATTGAATTTCCTTGGTAGAATATTTCGTTTTGATCTTTTTAATTAAGAATTGGTACAATTGGATCAATCATTAGAGGGCTACAATCCAGGTTTTCACTGATAAGACTAATTATTTTAATTAAAAGAAGAAACTAAAATAATACTGAAAATTAAACACCAGTTTGTATTAAAACCAATACCATGAGTCCCTAAATACGAAATAATACATAATTTAGGTTTTGTATTGTATAATGACTTTGCAACTAGAATGGTACCTATTTACAAAACCATTTGTCCTAAAACAACGTTTGTTTTAATGAGAAGAAACAACGAAATGATTTTAATGATTGTATTGTAGTTGGCACTTAGTATAATAATAATGGAGAACATTTAATAGCCGAAATGTTTCTGTTTGATTAATCTCGTTGTTGAATCTAGTGTTAAATTTAAAATTTATGGACTCTGAAGTTTGTTCGTCTAAAGCAACTTAACCTTTTTGTCGGTTCTAAACAAACTTTTCAGATGTAGAAGCGAATAGATGAACTTTTGCTGTATAAACAATAAGAGAGACCGAGGTAGTTGTAAGAGATAATTACAAATGAGTAAAACAAATTAAAGAATAATTAATTCACGATATATCGTTAAAGATGTTTTATCAATAAACACTTCTGTAACATGGTTAAGCAGACATTTATACCTATAACCGTCTACATAAAAGTTTTTTCTAGTATTCAAATTAATTAATAACGATGAAAGGTAAGCACTATAACATGAACTTACAATATCTTCCATATCTTAAGTATTAGTAGTTTTATAATCATTTTTAAATACATAAACTAATTTCCGCTAATTCCAGAAGATAATTTAATGTTCGTGGGTTTAACAAAATTTAGACTTCTTAGACTGATAAGGACAAAAACTATTTATTTACACTAATGTTGATATATCATTATTCACTGCGCTAATTATTTCACTTCTATCACTGTCAATTTATTTCTTCCCCTTTCGGCAATCGTCTCTTCCTTTAAATACTCTTTTGTTTACTTTCTGGAACCTTCTGAAAAAATCCATATAGTTTATTTTCTTTAACTGTTTAACTGCTTTCCCAGAACGCAGGTACGACACACAGATTTACAAATACGGCGCATATGAAGAAAGGCGCCCGCGGCTAGTTGGCGAATCGATATGCCGTTCACGCACACGTGTGCCCAACTCACACAAACACACTCGTGCTCGTTACAATAATAATATGGAAACAGAATTTTTGTTTCTAAACAAACGGTGAACATTTTCTACCTGACAGCTAGGGTTCAACCCATTCTTGACGTTGAATTGCTCTATTTAACCCTCACAGGGTTACATTTTAATTAGCAGGCTGCCGCAGTTGCTGCACACAATTTAGCATCAACTATCCGCACATTAAATAGTACCGAATGTTGTACACCTAATATATACTAAATACTAAAAACAAATGAGAGGTAAAAGTTTCTACATTTGAATAAATATATTGTAAAGAAACTCAGTATAAAGTGTGCAAAATAAAAAATGTTCTTTGTCCTTTTATACATACGTCTTTGTTGTAAGATAATTTTGTTATTTCAACACAAAAGCAAAGTAATTAAAACAACGGAAGCGGCAAAGATGAACAGACTTCCTTTTTTAGTAGAATGACATGTATGCCTACTCCTGTGTCGTTTAAAATGTGCACGTTTATGGTGTGATGGCTTTATTTTTCGTACCGCATAACTAGAAATCTTCGTTAATGGAAGAAGCGAGGCTTTTTTGTTTTTTTTTTGTTAAATCCTTAATCAGTCAGCTTCACAATCGTTCCTCACAGCACTTGGCCGTTTGCTTTATCCTCGTCATAACTAAACCTTTGAATCTACTGGTGATGACAAACGTGTGTACTATAACTGACACACAATGGAATAGTATAAAGGCGAGGGCATTTGTCTTCGACGTTTCATTGATAAATGAATTGTTCTTTCTAACGTAACCGCTTCCTAAATATAATAGAAAAACAATCCATTTTCTAAATGTAGATTCGTATAATTTTGAAGTTGAAAAGAAAGCGTAAGCATTTTATTTATAATACCAGGTGCGGATCCAGGATTTAAAGAAAGGGAAGGTTCCCAAAAAGTTCTATCGTTCCTAATCCCTCTTTTCCACTCTGCCCCTAGACAAAAATTTTCAGTTTCTCAGAGTCTTTCAGCGTCTCTGAGAGCGTCTCTCATAGTCTCTGTATGAGAGACTCGAACGATAAAATTGTTAATTCAGAGATTCGAGTCTCTCACAGAGAGACTGAATGAATAAAACTGAAAAATTGAGACTCGAGTCTCTCGTAGAAAGACTGGGATCTCTGAAATATGTTGAACTTAAAAATTTTAACCATGTCTATCGATACACCATTTATTGAGAAATTCGAGTCTCTCGTTCAGAGATTTGAGTCTCTCGTTTACAGATTGGATACGAAAATGAGGATCTCTCTATGAGCGACTCGAGTCTCTCGTTCAGAGACGCTTAACAGTGTTTTTTTGACAGTTTCTCTCAGCGACACCAGAGAGACTCGATAAGAGACGAGACTTTTTCGCAGCCGTACGAAGCCAAACATAAATTTTCCAAAACAGAATTTATTTCCGTTTGTTAAAAGCGATTCAATCCTTTGCTATTCCTTGTTTTATTCCTACGCTAGCACTCTTTCCATCGGAATTATTTTCTAATTTTTCGTCTACATCAATCAACAGTGTTGTGTATATCCATCAATCAGAAAACAATAACTTCAATAGTGATTGAGACGTTATTTGAAAAATAGGTTGATTCATCGGTCATGCAATTTTCGCGTGACTGTTTCAATTCTACTACATCGACATTAATGACGAAATCACCTTTGCATGCGAGGACAACGACCTGGACGTTGTTTTTTCCTAAGCTTATACTACTGACACGATTTCGTTTAGTGAATAACCTTAAGCATTGCGTGACACGATTTCAGATTTGTTCCAAATTTATTTGTGGCTTTTCCGGACTTTTTCTTTCCGTCATTACCTGCCCTTTTGACTGACTGCATTTTATACGTACCTATCTAATACGGTATAACGAATGTTTATCGTTCACGTGTTCAATCTAAGGGATTTGTCAATAACGATTACGACATGCTCACTGACTTCGAATTGCAGAAATCTGAGATTTAAGCAAGTGCACTTTATCTATCATCAATCCCCATTCCATATAAATTGATGAGTTTTGTGAAGGGGATGAAAATGTCTCTTTGATAAAGGGAAATTTAAAGACCAATTCAGCATTCATTATTCTTTTCTCATTAAGCAAACTTTCGGCGCGCTGCTTTATTGCTACCATGGATCAAGTTTTTGTTATTGTTTTGCATTACAAGCAATAACTGTTATTTTACAGTCTTTTTAAATAGGTACTTTCAGAGACTTTAAGCGTCTCTAAGAGCGTCTCTCACAGTCTCTCCTTTATTACCAAGGTGTTTTTATGGATCTCTCACAGTCTCTGTATGAGAGACTCGAACGATAAAATTGTTAATTCAGAGATTCGAGTTTCTCACAGAGAGACTGAATGAATAAAATTGAAAAATTGAGAGACTCGTGTCTCTCGTAGAATGACTGGGATCTTTGAAATATATTAAACTTAGAAAATTTTAACCATGTCTATCGAGATACCACTTATTGAGAAATTCGAGACTGGATACGAAATGAGGATCTCTCTATGAGCTACTCGAGTCTCTCGTTCAGAGATTCGGGTCTCTCACTCAGAGATTCAAGTCTCTCGTTCAGAGACGCTAAACAGTTTTTTTGACAGTCTCTCTACAGTCCCTCTCAGCGACACCAGAGAGTCTCGAGTCTCGCTTTCAGAGACTCTGAAAAGACTGAATATTTTTATCTCGGGTTGTACAACACCTATTCCTTAATTAACTTATAGGTAGAGTGTTTTCATAGAATTAATTTGATTTCACTACCAATCGTAATTATAATATCGAAATTTGACCAACAATTAATTGGAGATAATTTTTTACAAAGTAATAAAAAACGTATATGAGTGGTTCTCGAATTTTATACTATAACATAAGTACTTATGTACAAGAACAGTCCCTGGCGACTTTTAACTTCTTCAGGGTTTTTTGTTTTAAATTCTCTTAACTTTTTTTTTAAATTTCCACTGAGGTTTTGTAGTTCTTATAGTTTTAGTGTATCAAAAGTTAGCTTTTGTTTAGTTACGAACTACTTAGTTGCCTTTTATTTGTAAAAATTCCCTAAAAGCATTGATAAAAGAATATTAAACATCTTTTCAAGTTAACAAAGGACTGACTCTCGCATAACTAAAGTAATGAGATAACAAACAAAATATTGTTTATTATAATTATAATTCAAGCATTTTTTTACATGTTTTTCTTTTCTTAATAACCGTTTTTTCATTCATTGTAATGTAATGTGTAATCATTAGTATGCTGGGGTGATTGTCGTATTTTTACGAGCAGGGCAGAGGGTAACCAACTAATTAAGCAAACACAGAAACTCACCGAAATTAGTTGGTAGGAGTGATTCATCATTGCAATAAGTAGATTAAGTAAAACGACAATGTTTATGACCGAGTAGGTGCCAAACATAAGCATTCCCCAGAACCTGGTAAACACCTTAATGCCACTGAGCTCGAAGCTTTCCAGATCGACCAGGCCAAATACCGCCCAAAAAAGGGTCTGACTGGTCTCGAACAGACTGCAACATTGAACCAATAAATTTTAGTATTTCTCAAACGTAATAATGGCAACATCAAAAGAATCTATTTGGCAAAAATCCAGCTGTACTAAAATTTTTATTAAACGTAAATTATAAGGTACGTATTATGTTGTATAAATTCTTTTTACAACTTTTCTTATAGATAGATAAAATATCCTTTGTAAATAAAAATAATATGGTCCATATACGTCTACAAATCATATTGTTTCTTATTTTTACCGACGTACCGTTTGACGAGCATTTATTAAATTTTATTCTACGGAACCCTTGGGTTCCTTTAAGGATCTTTTTCTATTATATAATTTTTGACGTGACAACGTCTTATAATTCGATGGAACCGGCTGCACGCACGAAAAAACATGACTCATGCTGCGTTACCTCGCTCTGAGGCGTTCCATTTAAGGCTTGAAGTGCAAGCGAGAGCGCGGAACGAGCGACAAAGAGGCACAATCGGCCTCCGCGTTCGGCAGCGATTGACATCTGTCTCTCTCCGACTTGAGTGAGCGATGCGTCCGCGTGGACAGCTGCTATACAATAATACATTTCCATTTACCTCCTTCTCTATATCCATACAAATTATCTATCAAACAAATAAAATTAAAACTTTCTTTTGAAAAATGAAACCATCCCATCAGTATTTTCTTATGACGTTGTCACGTTCAACTATCGTCAGTAAACCGACTTTACAGACAACCGATTTTTTTAATACAAATAATCCATTTAAAAAATGTTACACTAAACTATACTACTGAAACAAAGCAGGGGTTCCACGAAAAGTGTGGTTATTAAAAAGGGTTCCACCTACCAAAACATTTGAAAAACGCTATAATTCTTACTTGGCAAATCTCCTCCAGATGGTGCAAGCATTGGAATCTTGCGTGGCTTCGGATGCTGTACAGTTGGTCAGTCTGGTGGGATTTGGCAGCTTGGGGTCAAGTATAAAGTCTACGCAAACATGAGATTTACTTTCCGAAGGACACTTGAGCCTTTCAGCGTCCGCGTAATACCACAACAATTGGTTTAGACCTAAATAATACAACTTAGTGGTACCAAAAGGTTCCTTACGGGTATATAAATAATCTACCAATTATGATTTTATCTAAATGTATTGCGTATTATAATAAAGTATTCTCACCGCATGAAAAGGCAAACAAAACTAATACGTAGAGGAAAAAGAATTTCATTATATCCATAACCATCCTCGATAGTGATACTTGCAATGGTCCAAGATGTGGATTTACAGAAAAAATGTAAACCAATTTCAAAGAACTGCAAGAAATTTTAATAATATCAGCATTATAAATGCAAGTTATCTGAACACTGCAATGAAATTTGCCGAAGATGTACACAATTAAAACATTAAAAACAGCTTAAGTATTTGAAGTATCTAGGTCCTTTAACGAATTGAAATGGAAAACTAAAGGTCGATTCACGTTATTCATGCCGGTTAGGGTTCAGTCACGATCAGATCAAAATCTTGTTCCATCGGAGAGAAATAGAGTGAGACTGTTATCTGACTGAACCTTATAATCTGAATAATTCCATACGAAATATATGCTACAACATTTTACTTGATTGTTATCGGGTCCGAACCTATATAGTATGAATTGGACTTAATCGGCTTAACTCATTGTGCTTTTTGAAAATGAAATTCATAACTCATATGAGCATAAGATCGGTAATTCCTTAGGCAAGATTAAATTAATATATATTTTTGAATATATACATATTTGTTTGGGTGAAAGTTAGGCACAGTCTGGTAATTTACGAGCTTCATTAGAGACAATTAAAATTCCAGCGGGATAGTTTACCAACAATCTCAAACGGGTCGGAAAAATCAATAGTTGAGGTTAGCAGTGTTTGGCTGTTGTATTGGTTACATTTACGATTTAACGCAACATTAACAATTTTATATTGTTTTGGATAACATAAAGATTTCAGGATTGAACTGACCAATAGACTTTTCAAATAACTTTTCGTACCGTTAGCTCCTTTTACGAAGTGTATGTCATTTTAAAAAATACGTGGCATCAGTACTCACTTCGTAAGTGTTGCCTTCGTCCATCGTAACATATGTATTCGTTAAACCAATGAGGGGATACTACTAAACCAATCAGAACGTTGCATTTCGGCATAAATATAAAGAAATCACATAACAAAAGCTGCTTTATGAATGTTGTTCAATTTTTGATTTCGAGTATCTCCACAAATTTCGAAGAAAGTTTCTCTAAACTAGTGAGAAAAAATGACTGCTCTCAAAAAATTGTTCAGCACGATTACTTTCATCTAGCGAAATCGACGGTAGATTTATTTGACTTTAACACAGAATAAAATGCTATAAAATAATTTTTTCATTTTATTCGATACTGTTAGAACAACTAAAACTTTTTGATCCTGTAAGTTTCCACCTGAACAATCGGATGAGTTTACATTCCATAGTGGTCAATGGAAATTGAGTTTACAAGTTTTGAGTAAGGGTCGGATAAATTTACATACATGTACATCCTATAATAATATATTAGCAGACGTGTTCAACGTCTTCAATTGTAATCGTAACTGTGCGCTTGTCGGTTTTTCTCTGTCTTCCGATCATTCCCTAATGCGAACGTCATGTATGTACCTACTTGTATTCATTTTAATTAAAGGGGGAATTAATAATCGATCTAGTCGACTTTCAATCAACTGAATATCAAACGCTAATATCCGATAGGGAAGAAAAAGCATCGTCTAATAAGTGCGCATAGCGGAAAGGCGTGACTTTCCAAGTAATTAATTTTTATTAAAGTCGATTCTCTAGTGAATTTGTAACATAAGTACGCAATTCAGTAATAATTAAACCTAAAGTAGGCCTCAATATCGTCCTCCCAAATTTAATTAATCGAGGAAAACTTTATTTGAACGCTTTGTGTTCACCTGACGCAGCACCTGCTTGTTCATCCACGTAATTTGTTGTTCCATTCGTGACTAGTCAATTTATAAAAAAATAGAATATCCGTAAACTAATAATTTAAAACCATAGACTCATCATAATAATTTATTATTGCGTAACACCCCCTACAGGTACATTTCTTTTTCGACTCCATTATACACCTTTGGAATGATTATTTTCCTTACGACATTTGTAAGAACGTTAAAAATAACCAAACAAAAATCATTTTTCTTTACTTTTTATATTTACGGATACGTATGTCGATATAATAGAGACATATCCTCGTAGATTCCTTATGAGAACCCCACAAAGGAAGTCGGAGATATTAAAGTGAGGTGTACGTTATTATGAGCTTTTCACAAGGACCTTAAGTGGCAAACCTAACCCATAACCTTGCAAAGAAGTTGGCAGTCTTCCCATTTGAATTCAGGTACTTTTCTTAGACAAACTTGTGGTTATCTACTAGTGGGTCATATTTGAAAATTATCAGCGGGTGTAATCCCATGGATTCTCCCGAATACTTTTTAAAACGAGTAGCGATAATATTTCCTTAGGAGTATGTAGGAATGAGGTAAGGCTTAAATGCCCTTTGTGAGCTTTATGGGGTAAACGCAGGTCAGTGTGGCTAACCTCGTTGAAATGCTAGTTGTTCTCCCACTTCAAATTCTAGTTGGAAAGCTTTGCAAACAGAATACAAAAATATTTTTTTGCATACCCTGTTACCCTTTTTTTAAATAACAAGCTGCAAATTATGGTTAGGTAATGTTACTTATACTTTGCACCAAAACAATAATTAATACTAAAAATATATTATTTTACCATGAGAAACAGTTGTAAGTAATTCAAAAATATTTGAAAACTTTACAATGAAATAAGGAAGTGAAATTTTGTCATCATTGATCACTAGGCTGTGTAAATGTAGGTAGAAATATATATTTATTGGGAATCCGACACAAAAAAAAAGAAGACTCAGAACTGATTACTTATCGAATTTATGAATTTCATAATTTTGAATGGAGATTTTGATCCGAGTTTGCTGCTTTATAAATATTGTACAATAAATCACAATATATTAGACAAAATTGGTTGCGTGCTTACCTAAAGATATTGGCAGCTGAAAATAATCCCTCTGATATCAGCATAGGATCCCAAGCATCCCAGTCTTCACGTTTTATCGTTTCCGTCTTGGGATTTCTTTGAACCTATGAACAACAGTAAACAAATTCAATAGACTATTATATAACTTTTAAGCATTATTAAGGAAGAAAACACGTCAAATAGTAAATTGAAGTAGTAGTTTTATTTATAAAATACGTAAAAAAATAAATTACAAATATGTATAGGTAATAATAATAGCCTACTAAGATGTAGTTTCAACGCCAGTCAAAATATGTACAAATTTTACGGTAGAGGTAGTTTAGAATCTCGTGGGTCATAATTTTGGGTTGCGCAGCAATAAAGCTCGGTCTGATCATTAATTGCTATTCGATTTTAAGCCGCGATTTTAATTTCAGATTCAGCTTTTGAAAACTGTATTTATTTCATATTTTTGTATACTCGTAAGTAATACAATGTATAGGTAATAGTTTAGAATTTGACGGTGAACAGGAAATATGTTCCGCTTTGTAATATCTTCCGATACGATATACAAAACGTTGGGATTTCAAGTAGCACATCCTGTCTGCTTTCTATCCCTTTTACTGCTTTATTACCATTAGAGCTTTCATCCTCTGCGCAGCGAACCCCAAATGAAACTTATCAGACTGTACATTTCACTTTAAAACAAATCAACAACAGACGACAAGGTACACATACATAAAGAAAATTACTTCAGTGTAGCATAAAATAAATCATGATTGTTCAATTTAATGTAATACTATTGTTTCTCCAAATTTTTGCTTTTTGTCTACCTTATGTATTTATTTATATTTGTTTGTCATTCTATTGTTGCATTTTAAACAAATCACGCTTTTTATTTTTTTTTAATATTTTTATTTAGTAGGTATCACTTATTAAGCTGCTAAATCTTTTCAACGCTTTCTTCATTATCCTCGGAGAAATCCTACATCCTAAGGATGGATAACACTAAATCTTGCAGCATTAAAGAAAATGTGATACCGCGATTCCAAGCTAAAAGAGGGATATAAATAGTAAATAAAATCGGAATATAAATTAAATTGCTGATGAAAACAAGCTGAACATTGAAGAGTGAAAATAGTAATGATGTTTTCTACCATAGGCGTTTATCAATCTCTCGCTTAGCTGTGGATAAAATGGTCGAGAATTGTACTTTGACAAAATATGTATCAAATACCTTAAAGGCCATCGGTTTAACTATTTAAAGACAAGGGTTTTGTAGCATTTTATCAGACTTTATTAAGCGGTTTAAAACATAGGTATCAGCTAATGCAGATATACCAAGAAATACGTTTTGCCGTGTAAACAAACACAAAATCGGTAGATACAACTGTATTCGAATTGGAGATAAACAATTGCAAACAAGTGGGTGGATTTAAATATCTATATACGAACGTTTAATTGGTTGCATACATTTTAATAACTTGTAATAACCATTACGTTTTTAATGCTTGGTGTTCTCAAAATTAAAATGAAAGTGCTACGCAGTATCGATAAGTATCAGAGTGAAACTGCAGATATTTGGCTCGCATTCGGCAAATATTTACAGGTTTCTGGAAGAAAATAACCAAGAGGTCCTTACCTGGTAATATGAGACTATCCTTAAAGCTACTGTGGCCACGTATAATGAATTTGTTATAAAGTCAATAACGTTCCACATGTCCCTGATGTATTCTTCCAATCCTACGTCCCACAACTGTTTGATTTCACTCCATATTAAACCTATAAATAGAAATGAACTTTTGATACGTTATATACTTATAATGATTTATTCAAAATCACGTTCGGCTGCCTTCCTATACATCAAACTTCAACATTCATAATTTTAATCTTATTTGAAATTTAAATGCTGTAATAAAATTAATTCGAATATTTATGATCCAAATGATGGACCTAAAATTATAAAGTTTGGAGTAAACGGAGAAAGGATTACATAGATTGAATTTTCATTGCTAATATCTAATCTTTTACAAAACCTTATAAGTAGCTTCAATCATTATATAATTTATTCTACAAATTTTATATGTATAATGTTGGGTTATATTTACTGCAAGGAGACTAAAGACAAGAAAAAGAACTACATACTAACGTATAATGTGCAACGCGAGCCGCAAAAGCATCATCAATTTGTACTCAGTAGTTCGCTTCGTAGTAAGGCAAAGCGCAACCGATATGCAAGGTGATTTTGTTTAATTTTTGATAAATGATAGTAATGAAATTATTATCCAGTCGCTCATTGCACAGCGAACACTCGTTTTGGTTCTGATGATTATTAGACCTATTCGCTTTGGAGTAAGTTATTCTTCTCATACCGTGCGAATGATGAGGATATCGTAGATAGAGAAGGTTAGAAATGAGGAGATATTAGAAAGAGTAAAAGAACAGAGGGTGTTATCTAAGTCAATCAGAAGTATGCTGGATGGGTTGGTAGGACACCTTCTCAGGCATGAAAGGCTAGTTGTTGGAGACTTATTAGAAGCAGAAATATGAGTTAAGAGGACTAGAGGTTGACTTAGATTAATTAGATTACTGTTCATAAATAGTTATGATGTATGTTGTTCTAGTTTTAGGGAACTGTAAATTTTAACTCAGGAGAGGAAAGGTGCGTGCCCAACCAGGACTTAGGACTGACGACCCTATTCATCATTCAGTGGACCCTTGCATTTTCTATCTGTTGTTAGTCATTCACTTCGGTTGTTTTTGCTCCTGTCTTTATTCTTTTTGATTTACTGCTTGTTTTTAATTAAGTGGGTCACGACTTTTACTTTACTATCAACAAATGAAAACTTTGTTTCTCCTAAAGATACCAAATCACTCAATCCTACCATTTAAATGTCTTGCTGTATTGATAAACTATTAGCTATCACTAGAGGTGCCTTCGTTCTGCATTTGGGACATTTGAACTTCGCTTTTAATAATATTTTAAAACTTATTTCACATAATTTCTTAGTATCTACCTAAATATGTTTGTGCGTAATGCGTTTATTTTTTACCTCCAACCCAAGCTAATATAATCCATTCGACTAGAGATGGTTTCGCACCGCGTTTTGTAGGAACATCTTCAACGTCTTCTTCGAAGAACAGATTCTCTATTCTTTGCGAGGCAAGTATTAGTAAAACTGAAATTGCAAGAACTTAATGAAACATTTTCATTATTATGAAAGAATATTGGCTTTCGAAAATAGGCATTCCAGAACAAATAGAATATCGCATATTGTTTTTATGGAAGACCGTTAATGTTTTTATATTCCTTTACAAATGAAATGATTCTTTCTTTATTATTTGCTATTTCCGAATTATATATTTCTTTACGAATACACCTACATATGTACATATGTACTAAAATTTTGATAATGGAAGTTCTTAAAATTTATTGGATCGAAAAAAAGTGAAACACAAAGTTTTACGAGAAGTTACCCGCATACAAAAATAAAGTTTGTAGT